AATAATTGTCTTTAAAGTTTCAATAAACTAATACTATAACGTATGTACTTTATATCAATTATGAGGTGAAACCTCATCCAATTACACTTCTTAAGGCATGTTTGGCCACATAGTCAGCCTTAACATTAAAATCGATAGAGATAAATGTTTTAGCATAGATCACAATATCAACCATAATACCATGGATTAACGAAGTTTGTGAGCTATGGTTGATAGCTATGATCCGTTGCTGTGAATCATAGTATACAACAACTCTGTTATACCTTAGATCTCCCGCCTGGATAGGAGCATATATTGCATAGCCAAGGCTTCCACAGTCAAGGCCGAAGAGACATTGGTGAGGGCCGTAGAATATTCTGATGATACCTGATCAGTTTCGGTTGAAGGATCTAACCAAGCCCTATAGTTTCCGAATTGGCCATCAAAGCCGCATCTTCCGTATAGCAGGTGAGCACTTCATCTTCCTCTTGATCAATATTTTGTAAAATATGCGACTGTCTTTGCACAATTGGCAAATGGAGATGCGATTGTGGCTCATTTCACTCCTGAGCATCCTGAATATCTTTGAGGATGGTTTCCGTAACTTTAAGGTTTCTATCACTAAAAACTCGTTGGTTTCTGGAAATCCACAGACGCTCGTTGTGTTTATATTCTTGTTTCCGTGATCAGAATAGTAGATAATATTTAATTTAAAGCAACTTAATAAATCTTTTGAAAAAGTCTCACCAGGTGTGTCTTTTTAGAAAGGACTCTTTTGAAAAAATTTCAAAAAAAAAACTTAATAAATCTATAATGTCCTTCAAATACGATAAATCGACTTGCCCGTGCCAAGTTTTCCATATTTGGTCAGTTCTTATTTTTCTATACAGTTACTATAATTAAAAGCCAGACCACAAGTTCCACCATTACGAATTTCATAAAACCAAAACGTTTTGAGTTACATATTTTTCCCATTTACTCCATTTATCAATCTTCATATCCACAAAGGTCCACAACCCGTTCCTACCAATTCCACCATTTTCTGAAGCATTATACGGGAAAAAAACATAATTAGACTATCCAAATTTCTTCTCTAACTTCAAGTGAGTCGCATTATTCTCTATTAATGACTTTAAAAGGCTATAAGTTAAATGGAAACATTTGTAAGTGAAACTAAACCGGCTACTGCATTTAATAGCATATGTGATCGAGATCTTGATCGGTCAACAACTTCCTTATATTCTCACCATCCTTCCTCTCTCAAGTGACAGTTAAACAAACCATAGAAACAATACGAATCTATCAAAGTTTAAAAATTTTTTATAAAAAATACGAATCTACACTTAAACCTGTTGAAACAATCTCAACTATATATAACATCATTTCATATCTTAGGAAATCATATATAAACTCAAAAGACTCGCTACGTACATTTGACGATCAAACATAAGAAAAAGAAGTGTGGAGATGCCGACTTGATTTATATGTTAAAAAATTAGGTGGTTGGTATGTGATACTCGCGGGTATGAAATGAATTTCCAAATATATTGTAAAATATAAAATTGTTTTAGTTAGGTAGGTAAAGATTTATATATATTGTTCACTAACTAAATAAATTTGTGAACATTAAATATATATAATATGACAATGTTAAATATGTTGAATTTTAAACGTGTTAAGAATATAAAAGTGTTAAGAATAATTTTGTGAACATTAAATATATATAATATGACAATGTTCATTTGACATGTCATATTTTTGGGAAGTTTTTGTGACAAAACATAATAAAATCTCTTTACAAAATTTGTCAAGTCTTTATTATGAATTTCAGTAAAAATATATTTCTATAAAAAAGTGTTCTAAAGCTTTATTGTGAAGAAAAATTAAGTAGAAATATTTTTTTAACAAAAAAAATATTAGAAAATATTGATTAGTATTTCTTTTGATATATTTATGGAAAAAAATTTAAATTTAGTTATAGAAAATTTTGTAAAAGATTTTGTTATGATTCGAATAGGGACCTTTTTGGTAGTTTGGCCTTTTCGATTAAATTTGGCTTCATTTCATTTGGATCGGTATAGTTCTGTTCCATTCAGTTCATGTAATATTACCCAACCCTAACTAGTAGTGTAATAATAATTTGAGTTGCTATGTAGCCAGCAATTTCAGCATGTACACTAAATTATTTTTTTTGGTCAAATATATTTATTTTAATCTTAAACCACGGTTACATCATAAAAAAATTTAGAATTCCATGTCAATGAGTTCGAAGCTAATACACAATCAAAATGCAATGCAAGATAATCAAAATATATCATAAAAGTGTGGTGGCCTAGTGGTAACACAAAAGGGTTGGTTCCCTTATGTTCCGGATTCAAACCATCTTCGGTACGGAGGATTATTCTTTAAATCGAAATATCCAGAGACCGCCTCCGGATACCCTTAGAAATGCAGCCACTTACATAACCATTATCACACATTTACTATTTTAGATTAAAA